CAAGCGGGTGCCGCATGGGCTGCGCGCGACCACTGTTGGTATTAAGCGTCGCGCGGTGGCCACGGTGGGAAGGATGTCCGCCGTCCACATGGCGTGCAATGAGAGGTATGGTATTCATAAACAGGAGGGGGTCGTCGTTTCGTGTTCGTGTTCTCGCCACAACACTTGAGCCTCCCTCCCCGAAGAGACTATGGCGTCAATCCCGGGAGAGTTGSTGTCGTCTCCATCCCGCGTACACAACGTGCACATGATCCACCATAGAGGCCATGGATGTTGAGCGCGCAATCCTGGCACTGGTCGTGAGGGATGCGATATCGCATTCCGTACGACAAATGCCAGGACTGTGCGCGTAACATCCGCGGGCTCCAGAACGAAGAATGCACACGTTGCATGCGCGCGATGGAGAATGCCTGCACCGCTTGCTGCAATGACGATGGCGTTTCTTCGGCATGAGCGCCGCATGTTTCGTGATGACAACCTCGACACGAAAACATGGCCTCATTCAATAACGAACAACCCGGCCACCTCCGGGGAACGTCTCAGTCATCGGGGCAAGGGGGGGCGCCGTTCTCACTGCAAGCGCGAAACCAACAATAGTCAAACAAAGAACGACGCATGGCGTGTGGTTGCCTGGCGAGATGGGAAGTTCGGATCCCGACGAACTACAGCAATCATGCGCAGTGCTCTCGTGGAAGCGACAATCTGTTGACGTCGCGCGGCCGCAGGGAGAGCACGCGCAGGTACGAAAATAGCGCATGATTGCTGTAGTTCGTTGGGATCCGAAGTTCCCATTTCGGCAGGCTTTCACACGCGACTCCACGTTTTTTGTTTGGCCGTTGTTGGTTTCGTGTTCGCAGTCACAATGCCATGCGCGCGATGGAGAACGCCTGCACCGCTCGCTGCAATGACGATGTCGTTTCTTCGGCGTGAGCGCCGCATGTTTCGTGACGACAACCTCGACACGAAAACATGGCCTCGTTCAATAACGAACAACCTGGCCGCCTCCGGGGAACGTCTCAGTCATGGGGGCAAGGGGGGTCGCCATTGTCACTGCAAGCGAGAAACCAACAACAACCAAACAAAGAACGGCGCATGGCGTGTGCTTGCCTGGCGAGATGGGAAGTTCGGATCCCGGCGAACTACAGCAATTATGCGCAGTGCTCTCGCGGAAGCGGCAATCTGTTGCCATCGCGCGGCCGCAGGGAGAGCACGCGCAGGTACGAAAATAGCGCATGATTGTTGTAATTCGCCGGGATCCGAAGTTCCCATTTCGGCAGGCTTTCACACGCGACTCCACGTTTTTTGTTTGGCGGTTGTTGGTTTCGCGTTCGCAAGCACAATGCCATCCCGGGTTGCCCTGATGACTACGTTTTGCAGGACACAGTTTCCAGCTTTCGAGCGTGGGGTCGATAGTTCATAACGCCATGCCAGTTGTCAGCGTGCGACGAAGTTCGGATCCCGACGGACTTGCAATCTGAAGCATGCGAAGTCGCGAGCTGCTCGGATGATTATTGTTGTTTCGACCGTGTCGCTGAAATAGGACGCTTACGGTTTGCATGGATCTTTTCAGAGTCCTGGTTGCATGACTGTTCTTTCGGTGGCGTTGCAGCAAAAAAACAGTCCTATCAATGGGACCCCAACCAAAACAAAATGTTTAATGCTCCCGGTCGAACGCGGCAACCGATCTGAAGTTCGGATCTGGGCGGACTTCTTGGTTGGCACCCGTTTGTGGTCCCATGATCCTGGTTGTGGAACCTGCCATTGCCCGAGTGCGTGCTCGCCTTGTCGGTGGTACTAATTTGGGGGTCCACCAGCCGTGGTCATTTTTTTTTTTTTGCTTGCAGTCATTTTCATAAAGGATGACAACATTTGCGACTGGATCGCCGCAAGTGCTCGCTTTGTCGATGAGGAGAATCAGGGTCCATGGGGGTCTGTTGGGGGCCGCGCTGCGCCGATTTCCGACGTGGTGCACCTGCGATGACCATTTTTGTTGTCCGTGCTCTTTTGGAACAAACACTTGTGAGCAGCAGCAGGGCCTCCTTGACCATGCAGCCAAGCCTAGCGTTCCTTCTGTGCAATTCCACACCGGTCATCCAAATATCCGTCGTCCACCGCGCAAACCGGTTCCTGGCCAGTCCAGCAAGCGCCAAGTTCGGATCCCGGCGGACTTTGAGGTCCCGCGTAAATTTAACCGCCCTTTTCGACGGCCACGACTGTCGAGTGTGTTCTGATTATGAGATGCCTCCGGGCACGCAAAAGTGCTTGCATGAGGCCTCGATTTTCAAGTGTGAGTTGATTGCGCGAGGACTGCGGGTGCGAAAAATTGCTCACCTTCTGAGATGCCCTTCGAGGGGTTTGTGGGGGTTGCCGATGGTGATAGCGGTCGTGTCCCTTGTCAGTGTGCCGTTGATCTTTGTTGCCCCCAGAGGGTTTTGACCGTCCCGGTGCACGGATTCTTGTCGCAGACATGCTCGTGTTTCTGCATGGTTTGCGGTTCGCGCTTTCGCACGTCGACGTTACCGGCGCACGAATCTGGGGTCGCCTTGTCGACTGGCCGAATCGGGGTTTGGAAGGGTTGCAGGGGGGGTCTCTCATCAATGTCTACATTTTTCTTGTCTGCGTGGTAGAGATGTCCGAGCTCGATGAACCCTTGCACTAGGGGTCAGTTTGGGGTCGCGCTGCTCCCAATTTTGTGGTGGTGCATCCACCGCTGCCCTTTGCTCTGCGCGTGCTATCGTATAACGACAACTTGAGAGTAGCAGAGCCTTCCTTCTGTGCGGCCAAGCATAGTGTTCCTTGTGTGCACCCGCTGGCGATCCGTTCCGCTGACACCGACCGCGCAAAAACAGGTTCCTTGATACACCAGCACCGACCAAATTCGGATCCCGGCGGACTTCGAGGCTCCGTGTGAATCTGACCGTTGTTTTCAACGGCTTGGACTTCTCCGTCCGTCTTCAATGCCGGCGGTCTGGTAGTGCGCAAAATTGCTCGCCTTGTGAGTTGCCCTGAAAGGGGTTTATTGGGGTTGACGACGGTGTCGCTGGCCGGGTCCATTTCCGGTGTGCCGTGGATCTTCGTTCATCGGCGCCCCAAAATGTGGTGCGCCCGAGCATCGCCTGCTTCTGTGCAAACGCCATCCACCCGTTCTGAATGCAGGCGAATCCACCAAGTTCGGATCCTGGCGGACTTTGAGGACCGACGCAAATCTATCCGTCCTTTGCGTGGTGCCTGGAGCTTCGACTGTGAGTTGATTGTGAGAGGACTGTGGGTGCGAGAAATTGCTCGCCCTCTGAAATGCCCTTCAAGGGGTTCATGGGGGTTACCGAAAATGAGGGACACGACCGTTGTCACCGTCGGCAACCCCCATTAACCCCTTCAAGGGCATTTATGAAGGCGAGAAATTTTTCGCACACACGATCTTTGTTGCCCCCCAAGGTTATTGACCGTCGCGGTGCGCGGAGTCTTGTCGCAGGCATGCTTCTGTTCCTGCGTGCTGTCCGGTTCGCGCTGTCGCACGTCGACGTTCCAAGCGCGCGAATCGGGGGTCGCCTTCTCGACTGGCCGAGTCAATGTTTGGAAGGGTTGAAGGGGGGATCTTTCATCCTTTTCTACATTTTTCTTGTCTGCGCAGTGGAGATGTTCGAGTTCGATAAGCTCTTGCACTAGTACCTGTGAATGAAACACTGCACGAGCTCGCTTAGACGATGGTGAGAATCGGTGTTTATAGGGGTCAGTTTGGGGTCGCGCTGCGCCGAATTGTGTGGTACTGCATCCACCACTACCCTTTGTT